AAAACCCGTGCGATAGCGGAGTAATGACTTCCGTTAACTTTCACGTTCAATTTATGCCATGCTAAAGCATCGTCGACAACGAACATAGCATCTAGCATGTTTTTGTTGGTATCTGCATAACCTTCTTGTGTAAATACTGCAGAACCATAAGCAAAAGCCATGGTTACTTTTGGAAAATCTGAAAGTAGCTTTTCAGTCGCCATCTTGAATTGTGGCCTGCAATTTATAGGAATGCGGTATTGATTTAGTTTCCATAGCAACAAGAGGTAAAATTGATAATACAAAAATTATACATGTTCGATCGATCATAGTTAATGGATCGATTAATCGATTTCTTTTACGAAAATAATTTCGTTTGTCATGTCGTTTTTTAATTTAACTCAACTTGGTGCGGATGATGCAGTAAAGGCCGCTGTGACTGTTAAATCAACGCCGAATAGCACAGCAGCTTGTAATGGGAGACAAAGTGGTGTTTCGAGCAGGTTCGGTGAAACAGTGCTTCCAAATTCTGAAGCGAATGGTTCACATGAAAAATACACAACAATGTTACAGAAACATCAGCGTCCTCCTAATGGTAGGATTATATTACAATGTGCATACTTTTAGATTATGTGGAGATATTGAATGTTTGATAGCATCAGATGACATATGTTGATTGTAGCACAAATCAGAACATAATTTATTTTTATAGAGTCGCTGGACTCTCAATCTCGTACCCAGAGCAATGCCTGTGTGCGGGCTAGGATGGCATTGGCTCTGGGGAAATTGAATTTTTCCTGTGCTGTGATTGGTTTAACGTTTATCAATCGTGCATGCCGACAAAGAACCGGAACCCCTAAATTTAGGGGTTCCGGTTGTCAATTTCCCAAGAGCCAATGCCATCCTAGCCCGCGCACAGGCATTGCTCTGGGTACGAGATTGCTGGACTCTCGGAAAAATTTCCGTACATGATTTTTTTTCGAAGATAAATGCCTGCATGATTTTTTTTCTAGATTCCAAGTTTTGCAGGATTTTTTTTGTATTGAAGTTGATACAATTTTTCCCTATAAAACCCATCTAGCTGTTAATGGTTCATGCAACTTTTCCATAAATGTATATATATATTATTATATATATACCAATACAGCTTTATAAAGGAATTTTTAAGGCAATCACATGTACACTAGTCCTACCTTCACCTTTTTAATTTGCAAAGTAAAGTAAATGAGATAAGAGGAATTCAAAAGATGTTGAAGGCTTTCCCGCTGTATACTTTTCCCCTGTACACTTTCATCCATTCCATCTCTGGTTTGAACAAAGTTCCTAAATGCCGGCTTGGCTGCGGCCAGTGTGATAATTTAAATAGTTTCTGTCCTTTGAAGATTAAGAGTGAATATTTGTGGGCTTTATATTTCCATATATACAACCCTCTTGAATTCGAACTTGGTGAGAATTTATAAACTTAAAATCCTCAATATTGTCCTCTGAGACATCTTCGAGGCAACTAATATCACTAATTATACCTGTCTTTATAAAATCTTCCTGATATTTTTCAAGGGATATTCCTGAAGGGCAGCGCAAGCCATTTTTGGTTTAGGGAGGGGGGGGGGCTAGAGCAAACGCCGAAGGTGTGAGTTTACTACAGGGGTTCCGGGGCCGTGCCCCCCAGGGAAATTTGGAAATCTGAGACCTTCCAGAGCCCCGGAAATGCAATAAATTCTACTAGTTGCTGTTACAGTCGTGCCACTAGAAGCATTCCGAAAAATGTTGACCAGTTCATTTCCTAACTTGAAGGAACACCTCTGAACAATTCCTTAAAATTTTGAAAATTTCTTTAAAAAGTTCCTAACTTCCTGTTTCATTGACCAATCAAATTTTTTATTTTATTTTTGAGCAATCTGATTGGTCAATGAAACAGGAAGTTAGGAACTTTTTAAGGAACTTATCAAATTGTTGAGGAATAGTTCAGAGGACTACTCTTCGAAGTTAGGAAATGAACTGGTCAACATTTTTCGGAACGCTTCTATTGGCACAACTGTAAAAAGTTTCTTAATAAATGACTGTTAAATCTAATATTACCCATGACAACTGGAAAGCCAAGAGCACAGAAAACTATTTATTAATACTGCATTTAACATTTGCAATATAGCAAAAACTGCTATACACCCAGTCGTCACACTGCACTTGCAAGATTTTTTTTCAGACTAGATCATGTGCAGGATATTTTTTTCACATAATTTCTCCTTGCAGGATTTTTTTTGAGCTGGCCTCTGCAGCTCAGTTGGTTAGAGCGCTGCACCGGAAACGCAGGGCCGACGTTCAATTCCTACCAGAGGACCTTGTGCTGCATTTTTCGCAGTCGTTCCTGGTTAGGTCTTAAAATGTATATATTCTCACTTGGATTACAAACCCTAACATCCTAATATTAATTCCACCAAGTGAAGTGCAAGAATCTAAGTTATTCAAATCACCAGAAAATCCTACCAAGGGCAAGGGGGGTAAGTTTGCTGGGGAGATACTCCCCAAGAAATTCTTGAATTTTGAGTCTCTTTAATTTGGGGATATGTTTGTTTGTGGCAGACAGGGGCGTAGGAACCGGGGGGGGGGCAGGCCCCCCAAGTTTTCCAAAGTGCCCTTTTTCTGGGAGCAAAGTGCCCTTTTCTTGCGTGAAAAATGTAGTGTCATTAAGATTGCATTTTTTGTCCAAAGGGCACTTTTGAAAACTTGAATTTATGTTATTTCCGGAAAATTTTTTTCATTTCCGGGAAAAATATCATATATCCGGAAAATTTTTTTCATATTTTGGAAAAAATGTGATATTTCCGGAAATTTTTTTTTGCCCTTTTTTATTCTAAATGTGCCCCTCAAAGCCTGGCCCCCCTAACTTTTAGAAGCTTTCTACGCCCCTGGTGGCAGAATACAATTGTCTTCAACAGTGTTGCAGAACATGCTTGTTACAAAACATAGTTTTCCCTCTGACAAAATGATAATTTCTCCCCGATAGAGGGGGAGCTATGAACAATGATTTTTGACAGTTGACAGTGACTAATGTTTACATGTAATTATTTTCTGCAGGCCCAAATGAAATTTATAGCAAACCAGTGACAACAAATATGAAATATGGATGGTGGATGAAAGATGGTGTTGAAAAAGAATCATGGACAAAAACTGAAAGACATTCATGTGTGCACAGTGAAATGACTAGGTAACTAAGAAATTACAGCTGTGTATATTGTGCACATTCAAGTATTGTATTTCATTCAATATTATATATTAATTTTAAAATAATTAATATGTTTCCTTTTTAGATTTGTTGATGAAATGACTTTAACAAACAGAGAGTTCACGCTTTTTTAATGACATCATGATCAACTAAAACGCTTGACAAGTTAAAGAATATCCATTTCTATCAATTAAATTGCATTGTAAAATACTATTAATATGAACAAAACCAAACGAAACCATTTATTAAATGGTGAAACGTGGTGGTGAACCAGTATAATAATGACTTAATTGTTGTACAAATACTTTACCAAGTCATCTCAAACAAACTTTGTAATAGCTGGCTATCAAAGAGGTTGAGATAATTCGAAAGATTCATGGAAAACAAGATATATACTTTTCTAGTCACTTTTGTAATGCAATGTTACAAAATGGCAATGACATTGTTGCATCTGATGGCACAATTAAGTCAATCACGTTGGTGTACAAATATTTCACTTCGAATGTAGAATATCAAAATAATATCCAAATCACGTAAGTTTTAGTAATACTGTAGGAATTTGCCTTTCTTATACCCTCAAGTACACTCACGTGAAAATGTAATTTACGAGAATTATATATTGGACGAAGACGTACGTTGTCAGTATGATTCAAGGGGCAGGTTATAGATGTATCAATTTGTCATTGATGCATGTTTACTGGCATCAAAATTAGTATATGCATGTGTTTGATATTTCTTGGAAGAATTAATATTCATACACTATATAATTAGAAATGTTTGTGAGTTTGTCCAGGAACATTTGGAATTAAAAATGAGAAACAGGGTCTTAACTATTTTATGAACCTATAGGCTATACACGGCATCCATGAGTTTTGGCCACAGTAACACCCAACATGGCCTTGCTTCTAGAGCGAGGAGTGTTAACTGTATACAGTATATTCTCATACAACCTCGTACCCAGGGTCTTAAATACATACAGAATTATGTCAGAACCGTAAAGTAATATTAATTCAGGCAACGTATTTTTTAAAATACGTTGCCTGAATTAATATTACTTTACGGTTCTGACATGTTTAAAAACATGCAGTTATATACGTGCTATAACCTTACGACTTACGTAACATTCCCTAGAAATTTCATTTTCAGTTCTAAATTATTCCTGGACAAATATTTCTATTTTTCCAAGGAATATCAAATATGTATATAAACATCGATCAATGAAAAGATATTAAATTTTATTTAAATACTCGACAATCCTACTCAAATTTACTCAGCCAAATTGAAAGGACATGCAGTCCTCATTTCTGTATCATGGATACATCTTTATTACGCTTTAGAAGCTTGCTAAAATAATATTATTAGACGGCATCTCAAACAATTTTCGATTCGGATGATCCAAGGACATGGAAATCTGTGTGTCTGAAATGCAATTCAGCACGCACACTTAGGATCTCCACGTCATGTTGTAGTTAATGCATGTATTCTCTCACTTATCGGGACCACAGTAATTGGCTTCACACGCTGTTGTGGGCACCCGGCCACGGAGTATATTCATTGACTAGTTGCTTTCTGTCTAATGTTTAGTTCTTAAGTGTATATATATATATATATATATATATATATATATATATATATATATATATATATATATATATATATATATATATATATATATATATATATACAGGGTGTATCAAAAAAAACTGAACAGATTTGAAATTGCTCTCAATTTCGCAAAACACCTATTTGTATCCAGGTTTTTTATATATAGCTTCTTTGGGTACTTATAATGTAAAATAATGAAAAAAATTTCTCGAACTCAAATTTTGTGAACCAGGGGGGGGGGGGGGGG